GAGTTATTGAATGTGGACTCAATCTGCTTATGTACCAGAATGCCAAAACAAATGTGTTCTTTTCCCCAAGCTTCTCGTATCGGCCTTCTCTTCCCAAATTATGCTTACTACCCATAGTTAAATGTCCAATCATTTAGTAATTGCTTTGGCTTAGCGACCACACTAGTGTAGTACATCTACTTGTAAAAGCTTTCAATTTAATGGGCGATTTAAAGCATAAACAAGAAAATATCAAGCGTACTGGGAGCTATTTTGTTTTATATTTTATTTTATATTTTTTTTATATACTTCAAACTTTTTTTTAATCTTATTCCACCCATTCAGTGCAAGCAGATCTGTCACGTGGCATTATCCATCAGGTAAAAGTGTTTGTGCTGCCCCTTTGAACCTAGATCTCATCTCTCAGCTTGACCACACTGGGAGGGCCGGGCGGGGGAACTGTCCCTACTGGGAGAACACAGTGATTATTGCTAGTGGCTATGGTCGCTGGCAATAATCGCATGCTAGAAATCCAACATGCTGGTTGTACCCAAGTCAATAGATGGATCGACTTGGGTACAGTCAGTCTGCCCATATGATTAGAACCATCTAAGGCCAGCTTAAAGCAAGTTTTGAAATGTGACCCGCTTTTATCTTGCTATCTGAACTGGGGAAGGACGGGGGAGTGTTTTAGCCTATGGTACTACTTCAACAGACCCAGTGTAGCCAAGTGCTGCATTCGAAGACTGACATATACAGTGTATTCGTGTGTGTATATATGTATATATGTATGTATATATGTATATATGTGTATATATATATATATATATATATATATATATATATATATATATATATATATATAATATACACACACACACTGTATATTGAAACCTTTTTAATGCATAAGCGGGCAGCAAAGTGGCTAAATGGTTAGCACTTCCGCCTGACAGTACTAGGGTCGTGGGTTCGAATTCCAACCCAACACCACCTGCCTGGAGTTTGCATGTTCTCCCTGTGCCTGCGTGGGTTTCCTCCGGGTACTCCGGTTTCCTCCCACACTCCTGGTAGGTTAATTGGATCCTGTCTAAACTGGCCCTAGTATGTGTATGTATGAATGTGAGTTAAGGACCTTAGATTGTACACTCCTTGAGGGTTAGGGACTGATGTGAATATACAATATATATGTAAAGCGCTGCATAAATTGATGGCACTATATAAGTACCTGTAATAAATAAGCTCCAAAATGGCTTCTGATATCTGTATCAGTGGTGGCTAGATAAAAAAAAAAAGGTGTTGATAGTGAATGTGAAATGCTGCTGGCTTGTTGAGGCTGTGTAGCGTTTGTGCCTGAACTTGTAAGTGGGGGACGCAGCACCGAGCCCTGTGTAAACACCCTTATGTAAACATTGTCATATTGTATAGTTGGCTTCTCACTATGCATTCAGAGCAGGCCAACCATGACCAAGTACAGCGTGTACAGGTATTTTCCTTGTCTTCGGATGCTACCTTGATTCTTCGCTTAGCTCCTAAAAGATAGTGTGGGCTGTGATGATCTTAAAGGGGAACCTGTGCTAACAGAAAAAAGTATGTTGCCATTGCTGGCTTCGTTCTGGAAATACTAGTTTCTTGGCTGTCTCTGGCTTCAGGGCTTTTAAGTAACTGCCCGGGAACAAGGATGCAGATAAGAAGTCAGAGTGTAATGTTAACTGACAATCTGCTTTGCTAATCCATGTATATCTAGTAGAAAGTGTTAAAACCCAAGGATCAACATGACAGGTGAGGTTGCATTTTTTTTTCTGTAGCAAAGAAATACTGTACCTGCTTAGTGATCCTTTTCCCAATAATAGAACTGGAAAAAAGTATAATTTTTACTGGCCAGGTTGTTAAAATTCCAGCCAGTTGGAAAACCCACAGCCAGGCCTCTACTCTTTTCAGAAGTAGGGGTCAGCAATAACAGCCTCCATATAATGGTTCAGGTTTCCTTCAACCATATCTTTATGTCATCAGGCAGACGTTTTATTGCTATGGTATATGGCATAGAGTTGTGTTCTTTTGAACTGGCTGCATAAAAAACACAGACCATAATGAATCAGGCTTGTTCAGTAAAGCAGTGGAAAGAGCTGTAATAATGCACCAATCAGGACTGTGCCAGGGGCGGATGCAGCCCAAGGTAGCCAAATTTGGTTGGTTGGGCTCAGTGCTGCCAACCAACATGAGTGACGCTTGGGACAGCCACTTCAATTGGCTTCATTGGTGGCACAGCTCAGACACCAACTAATCATTTTTTTAGTACACAGCAAAAACATACCTGATTGGTAATGGGTTGTAACACTTTGCACATTTTTGCCTTTCTAAATAACCTTTTAAATACAATTAAAAAAAACATAGGGCAGTTCAACCGGCTGGTTAGTTATTTGAAACTCATTTTAAACTTCTCTGGTGCCTCAGACCATGAAAATTATTCACAGTCTAGTTTCAGATTTTGATGTTAGGACAGTCACTTTTTACTGGAACAACATTTTACAGGATCTTTTTAAAGGGAGGACTTGGTGCCTTAGCACAGTAAAATGTTAAGTATGAGAAAATTGCACTTGTAAATGTAAACGTCCCTTCATCCTGGAAAAACGTAAGCCACGCATTCTATACATACTTTCTGCTCTTTGGATTATTTTTTTTTTTCATTCTGTTTGAGGAAGAATCATGGTGGGTCACGGATGGTTTGTCACCCTATAAAACTTTATTTTATATATACCCTCTCCTGTTTCACTTGTGTTAGAAGGTGCAAGCCTCACACTTGTCTTTGTCTCCTTCTATGGGCATGCATGCAAATTGGGAACACAGTTCTCTGCTACTGAATTCCACAATATATGGAGCTTCTATTGTGTTGACTGGAGATAATTAAAAAAAAAAAATGAAAGCCTGTATTTCATGGCTGCAAGGGGTTAATGTGAAAGCGAGAGCTGTAAGAGAAAACAATTTCAGCTCACAAATATGCAGCATTGTATAGCTGTAGCAAAGGCACGCTCATGAAAGCTTGTCATTCCTGCAGTCAATTTAATTTGGAACCCAAAGATGATACATCCCAGGTTCTCATTACATTGCCCATATAACCAAGCCAGATGGTCCTTTTAACTAACATGCTTAGCAGGAGGCAGGAGCAGCAGAACTGATAACTGCGGTGATGTAATGCTGGTCTTTACATGTTCAGAGCGTTTGTTGATAATGACAAAAGAAGCTATTGGTTACCCACGCTACAAACTAGGGTTTTTTTTTAGCATTACACTAAATCTGACATGGAGAGTTTATGCTGTTTTTGCCAAAAAGAGTTATTGCTTGGGTGGCAGAAGTTTTCCCAGAAAGCCAGACCTATCTGTGACAATTAATGCATAGAATAGAAAAAAAATGGTAACAAAACTGGAGTTGTTGCAAATTTCAGCCAATTTGGGGTCACTCATTATATTCTGGGATGATAAAACTGTGGGTATTGTCTACACCATTTGTCATGTTTTTTCCCCCACCTTTTAATTAATGGTTAAATTGTGATATTTTGGTTCCCATGGGTTACTACTCATTGCTGCTTTCAGCATCTTGTCATTTAGAAGGGGCTAAAATGTTTTGCTTTGCCATAGTGATCCATAGATGTAGTGCTTTTGAATAGTCATATAAAAGTGATACTAAACCCAGGACTCTGCATTCACTATATCTGGTCTCCCACAGTACACAGAACATGGACATGCATTTGTCTTAGTGAATATAAACTGCTAAATACTTTTTTCTCATCAGCAATTAGAGCAGTCTTGTGACTTCTATCAGTGTCCAGCAGAGCACTGGTTAAAGCTTGTAGGATGAGTTTTCATTCTCCACTGATTGGTCCTATAAGACTAATTAACCCCTGAACCTCTGAACAGTACTGATTGGCCCTTTGCTGATCACATGCACTCTCCCAAGAGAAAAAAAACTCTGGCAATACACAGCATACTGAGCATGTGCAGCTTGCCCCCAGGGCACTGTTCTATCAGCAGATGGATTGGGGTCAGTAGAGGAAGGAGAGGATCAGAGAAGACAGGATCAAACATCCTTTTTATCCTTTTTATGTGAAGGCTTAACCCCCTTAGGTTTCACAGTGAGTATAACATGCATGCTTTACTGCATATACTGACTGCTTTTACTGTTGTGGGTTTAGCAACACTTGAATGGTCACTGTGCCACATACTGAGATCATTGTAGAGTTCCCTCTTGCTATAGGTGCTGTATTCAGACCTATTTATTTATTTCATTTATTGCAAGTACTTATATAGTGCCATCAGTTTATGCAGCACTTAACATATATATTGTACATTCACATCAATCCCTGCCCTCAAGGAGCTCACAATCTAAAGTTCCTAACTCACATTCATACTAGCACCAATTTAGACAGGAGCTAATTAGTCTACCAGCAGGTCTTCGGAGTGTAGAAGGAAACCCAAGAAGACACAGGGAGAATGTGTAAAGTCAGTGCAGATAGTGCTGTGGTTGGGATTTGAACCTACGACCCTAGTGCTGCTAGGTAGAAGTGCTAACCACTTATCCACTGTGCTACCCCACGTATACAATTGTTACCATATTCCAGGCATATATGGCAATAAAAGTGGTCAAGTGGTAGGTGCTGCAGAAGCCATCATTCAATAGCTTAACCACAGACTGATATTGTTAGTGAACATTGGATAAAGTCTAAACAGGCAAACTGCCTACGCATGGGCATCTTCAGACCAACGTTCGAAGAAAGTGAAAGAAGGCTGGGCAGAGAAACTAAGAACATATTGACTGGTTAGAAGGATTGTATCCTAACCTAAGCTCTTGGTGTTGCTTCCACTGTATTGCATGATGTGTTTAACCTCACTAATATTTCTGCATTGCTTGTATATCAGCAAGTCAGGTCTTTACTGCTTGCTGAGAGTGGATTTGCTATGGGTGCTTTACTGACATTTGGTGTCTTTCCTTTTTTTGTCCTGCCGCTTCCCCTCTATCCTTCCACGCAGAACCTCCAACCAAATACCAAATCTCTCAGCCAGACGTTTTAACGATTACTCCCGGCAAGCCTCTTGATCTGCGCTGTCCGTACAACGATGCTTCCCTGGTGACTTGGACTAAGGATGGGGTGAAATTAGAATCCAGCAATAGGACGGTGATTGTCATGAACTACTTGCTGATAAACGAGACTCTCCTCAGGGATTCAGGGCTGTATGCCTGCTTAGCTCATAAAGGCGCCCAGAGCAATACTCATTTCTTCCTTGTGAATGTCACAGGTGAGTGACTGGAGAATGGAAGTGTAACCTATCAGACCATAATGCACCATGTGTCATCATCATTGTGTTGCAAACAATGGGCTGTATCCAGCAATTTGTCTTTAGAGAGTTGCCAGGAGGCATAAAAAATGAGCCCTCTGGCTTCTATTTATTCCAGGAGTTGAGTAAAGATTAATAAGCTATTAAGAATTTGTTCTGGCAAACACCAATGCCTGATAGGATATCCCAGAATTCTCTCTGGAAGCCCTGTCGTTTGGAAAACATATATAAATGTTTTCATGATATAAAAGTTAATATCTTGACTGCTCAGTTTTCTCTCTGATGGGTAAATGTTTTTAGATTTGTTTAATTGTTTTTTTTTACATTCAAATGGTGCTTACCTGATTTAAACTTACTATGGTTTCTGTGATTATAGACATTTATTGCCTTGTGTTTATTTTTTTTCAGAGGCGAGTTCTTCTGGAGATGATGAAGATGACAGTGACAATGATGTCTCTGAAAATGTTATCAATGATAACAACAATATAAGTAAGTGGATCACTTGTGACTCCAGGGTGGAATTTTTAATTTCAATGGTACTATGTTATAGATACTTTCTAACACAGTTATAGCTATTTAGCCACTGTAGCTGCTTTATGAACATATCTTTCTTCTTTTTTTTTTTCTTTTCTTTGCAATGTTAAAAAAATGTTGAAAAGTCATGTGACCATCCCTTCTTCATGGTAGTGGAGGATTGGGTTACAGGACACTGTGCAGACTCGCATTGTCCGCCTGTATTCCATAATCTGTTCAGCCTGAGGCAAAATGTAGGCTGTGCTTGAGGCGGGAACAGAACAGGTGATGGGGAGGGGGTGTGTGCCAGAGGCAGGCCGTGATTGGTCAGGGGGTGTTGTGGCTGAAAAAACTACCCAATACAGGCATGCTGTATAGAGAATAAACAGGTGGCGCACACACCTAGTGCATTATCCAAGGTTTATTGAAAGGTATAAAAGACAAAAACATACTCACAGACAAGGCATGTATCTAAAAAGCATTTGCATAATGAAGATGGCCACAACGGCAAGCAAGGTGTTCCAACTGGCAGTGCGGTCAAATGGCTAACACATTTCGAGGACAAATTCCTTTATTCAGAGCTACTGACCAGCCTCTTGTGCAGATGTGTAGTGGATGGATGATGGGAGCCTTGCTGGTGATGCCACAGGCATGACAAACTAAAATTTATAAAATATACATATGTGAACACACATAGGAAAAAAACATTTAGGGTAACATGCACTTTTTTAATCTGCAACTTCACATTTGAACATGGCTTCCAGTGTGTATAATGTAATGATGACAAAGATGCCTGCATTGCAACATATCAGTAGTTAAGTAAATTAAGCTATTAGCAGATATTGGGGTTGTCTACATTCCAGAGACCCATTGGGTATACTAGAAAATGCTGTCATATCAAGTCTGATCTGAATGGCCTTACAAAAGATCTTAGGGGACTTTGTTTATGTTATAAATAACATTCATTGAATGCAGGATATGAACATTTGAATATAAATGCAAGCTTCACTTGTGTGGAGAGGGTTGCTGGATGAAAATTTATATCTGAGGCCAGCCAACAAAGAGCAATGACATTCCTGATAATGAGTACAATAAAATATTGCTTAATGAGAATAAAGACTTAGAGGTACTTCACCCGGCTAAAAGTACTGTAGCTGCTGACTTTTAAAAACACATACTTGGCAACTCATGAAGTCCAGCGCTCTTCTCTGCATGCAAACTCTTCTTTTTCAGCATTGCCATCTTGGATTTGGGAGCCAGGTGTCATTTCCTGATCACTCGGCTGACCGTCCTGTTAAAGTGCTGGTGCACATGCATGCAATTGCCAACATTATGGGACTGTGTTTAAGCCTACTGGAGTGTGTGACTTGCATCCCAGGGTTATGTCATGCATAATATCATCCTCACCTAGGCAAGGAGAGAGGAAGCTGTTTCCAGCACCAAAAAAGTTACTAGTTCCACCACACAACCCTGCCCTCTCTATTTAAAAAAAAAAAAAAAAAATTCTCCAGATCTGAGAAGGAAGGATTAGAATCATCGTATTTTAACTCGAAATGTATAGAGAGTATATCAATAGTATGATTGATATGACTTTAGCTTCCCATGCAAGCCATAGCATATATGATAGTATTTACTGTCTTTCTCTACATTTCTGCTGACATGAATATACAAATCGTTTGGCAGTATATTGATCCAATAAAAATTGTGATTTATGATTGACAATAGGAAGCCTGGCTAAGTCTCTATTTCTGTTTAAAACATTCTCTTTTTCAGGAGCTCCTTACTGGACAAACCCAGAGAAGATGGAGAAGAGACTTCACGCTGTCCCAGCTGCTAATACAGTAAAATTACGTTGTCCAGCTGGTGGAAACCCCACCCCTACCATGAGGTGGTTGAAGAACAACAAGGAGTTCAAGCAAGAGCATCGGATTGGCGGGTATAAGGTAAGCAAAACACATCAATAGCTGTACCCTTTGAATTCTATCTCCGAAGCGCTCAACTCTTCCTGAACTTAAGACCTCCATGTGTTAGTTCTTTAATTTTCTAATGACCTCAAATTGATAAGCTGTGTTACTGAACATATTGGAAAGAATAGAGCACTGCCCGTATTCTGAGTTTTAAACACTAGATTGCTAATTCCCATTTCATCTGGAGAACCTTTTAAGTTCCTATAGTTCAGTTTACCTTAAAAAAATGTTTTCTTTAATGTCCTCTTCCCTGTCATCACATAATTGCTTTTCCTTCTCTCCCCTACAGCTCTGTTGAGCTGCTGGGAATAAAAAACTCATCCAGTACTTATAGGAATGGAGGAACGTGTGACTTGGTCCCCTTCCTTTCTTGCGAAGTAGAAAGCATGTCCTTATTCTTGTGTAAATTCCAAGCTGGGGCTTAGAACTTACACATTGCTTATTTTCCTTGGTAGCTGAATGGAGCAGAGGGATGGGTATGGACACCCCTGGCCAAAAGTTTTGAGAATGACACAAATATTACTTTTCACCAGGTCTGCTGCTTCATGCTTTTAGATCTTTTTGTCAGATGTTACTTTTGTATACTGAAATATAATGACAAACATTTCATATGTGTCAAAGGCTTTTATTACATTAAAGTGATTTTAAAGGCTGATTTTATTTTAAAGAAATAATAACAAACATGTCTATACTTACTTGCTATGTACAGTGGTTTTGCACAGAGCAGCCCAGATCCTCCTCTTCTCGGGTCCCCGCCCGGGGCTTCGGGCCCCTCCCTCCACTCGGGTGCCCCCACAGCAAGCAGCTTGCTATGGGGGCATTTGCTGCTCCGTGTGTTCATTCACACATGGAGCCGTGACTCTGCCCTTCCCCCTCTCTCTTCTCATTGGCACACTGGCTGTGTTTGTCAGTAGTGGGAGCCAATGGCTCCCGCTTCTGTCTCAGTCCATGAGAAGAGGGAGTCCAGTGCACATCAGTGGATCGAGAGGGGGCTTAGGTTCGTATTGGGGGGGGGGGGGGGGGGAATGCCGCACAGAGTTTTTTTTTTTTTTTTTTTTTTTTTTTACCTTCATGCATAGAATGCATGAAGGTAAAAAACCATGAGCCTTTAGAACCACTTTAAGTTTATGCAAAGAGGCAATATTGCAGTGTTGACCCTTCTTTTTCAAGACCTCTGCAATTCGCTCTGGCATGCTGTCAATCAACTTCTGGGCCACATCCTGACTGATAGCAGCCAATTCTTGCACAATCAATGCTTGGAAGTTGTCAGAATTTGTGGGGTTTTCTTTTTTTGTTCACTCGCCTCTTGAGGATTGATCATAAGTTCTATGTGGGATTAAGGTCTGGGAAGTTTCCTGGCCATGGACCCAAATTGTCGATGTTTTGTTCCCCAAGCCACTTAGTTTATCTTTGCCTTATGGCAAGGTGCTCTGTCAAACTGTTCTTGGTTGGTTGGGAGAAGTTCCTCTTGAAGGATGTTTTTGTACCATTCTATATTCATGGCTGTGTTCTACGGCCCACTCCTTTGGCGGAGATGAAACCCCACACATGAATGGTCTCAGGATGCTTTACTGTTGGCATGCCACAGGACTGATAGTAGCGCTCACCTTTACTTCTTCGGACAAGGTTTCTTCTGGATGCCCCAAACAATCAGTAAAGGGGATTCATTAGAGAAAATGACTTCACCCCAGTCCTCAGCAGTCCAATTCCTGTACCTTTTGCAGAATATCAGTCTGTCCCTGATGTTTTTGCTGGAGAGAAGTGCTTCTTCTTTGCTGCCCTTCTTAACACCAGGCCATCCTCCAAAAGTCTTTGCCTCACTGTGTGTGCAGATGCACTCACACTTGCCTGCTGCCATATCTGAGCAAGCTCTGCACTGGTGATGCCCCGATCCTGCAGCAGAATCAACTTTAGGAGATTGACCTGTTACTTGCTGGACATTCTTGGGCACCTTGAAGCTTTCTTACCAACAATTGAACCTCTCTCCTTGAAGTTCTTGATGATCCTATAAATGGTTGATTTAGATGCAATCTTAGTAGCAGCAAAGTCCTTGCCTGTGAATCCCTTTTTCCACAAAGCAATGCTGACTGCATGTGTTTTCTTGCAGGTAAGTTAATACTTGTATCATACTAAAAACGTTTCTCAAAATTCAGGGCAGTATATGGTGCTGGGTGCCATTTCAGTTAACATTTTGACCTCCTTTTAAAGGCTAAGTTCACTTTTGGAACATGTTACATGTTCCACTCGTATTTGGGGTAGAACTTTTCACATGTTTTGGCTCCTGCCATCTCTCCCCTGATCCTCCCTCCCTATGTCACAGTTTAAAAATGGTGCAGCCGTGCAGAGCTCCGCTCACAAGGCCATGTCATTCATTCAGAGTTCTGTGAATGAGTGAACTACAACTATCTTTGTCCGACTGCTTGTAATTCTTAATGAATGGTGGGTGCTTTCATAGTTCAGCGATTTCTTCCTGAAATTCAGTGATTTCCTGCCCGTATGGGAAGTACGGGCAGACAGTATATTCAGTATACTGACTCAAAGGTTCATCACAGTTAAAAAAAAAAAAAATAATAATAAATGCACTTCCCTCTCTACATCAACATGCAGACAAATAAACCACTTATGAGTGTGATCTCTAAGCTGAGGCAACTGAAGGGTTGGAAGTGCTTATGTGTAGCACACACATTACAGCATACCTTTACTACAGGGAATACATTGGGAAGCTTGTTCGGCAAATGGGTCATAGCAGTTACTAGTCCACTGACCTTTTACCCCAATTACTCCTTGTTTGAAGAGCAATTTACAGACATACCCTTAGATGCAGCTGCTGAGTTTCAGATATGCAGATGTAAGGGGTTTGTTTTTCAAATACACATGGCAATGTAATAAAATTGTTAACCGCTGCTAATCTAAGATGGTGTCAGGCAAATTAAAGGGCAATTTAGAGGTGAATTGCTGTTCTGTTAATATATTTTCCATGATATTGAGATACCTGAATAAAGCTTTGTTGTGTGGGGATAATAAAAGGCACCAGGTGCAGGCTTGTTATCGGACCAAAACAGTTATTAACATGTGCAATAACTCGTAATAGCAGTAGAAGCTGGAGATATGATGTGTGTGTTTGGGTGTATCGTAACCTTGTCCTGCCATAATATTACTACAGTGGAGTAGTTAGACGTAAAATATGTTGCGTGATATTTTTTTTTATGTTGTTTCATTCTATCACTCTAGATGAATACGTTTTGGAGGTACAATCAATGCTGTAGTCACAATACTGGGGGGGGATGGTGGGTTTGAGTTGTTGTTGGGGGGGTGGCATGAGTGGCACTTCCTACTGACGTGCTGTTTAAATGCCCAGGAAGCGTTAAAGAATTTAAATGTCTTCTTGTTTTGGTAGTCAGGATGTTTCAGTGGCTTCAAATCTCTAAAGTTGCATAGATTCCCATGACTGGGGGCTGTTCCTAGTAACGTTTAAAATGCGAGCTGATCAGGCTGAAACAAATAACACTGAGAAATGGCAAGTCCGTAATATAGTTATTTGATCAGGCAAAGAAAGACCTATTTTTGACAGTGACCAGATTTTTTTTTTTTTTCACCCTGCAGCACCCTAGTATTTTGAAGGGAAAAAAAAAAAATCTAGCTATATGGATTTTTTTTATTTTTACTTCCCTTGTAATGAAGGTGTGAGACGAAAGTACAAAGTATGTAATAAACTGTCAAGCATTGCTGTGTATATAAAAAAAAAAAAAAAAATCCTGTACTTCGAGAAATAGGGAGGCTGGCCATTACTGGTCTGTCGTAAAAATGCTGTTTGCCTGGCTGTCATCTGTTTCAGTTTAATAACTACTGGTATTTTTGTGATACAAATTACTTGTTATCACTCCCAAATGCTTACACAGCTCAGTCCTCATTTGATCACAAGTGATGCTGAAATCAAACTCATTGACTCAAATGAAATTGGGCCCCTGGCTTGAGAACAAGAAAATGTGGAGTGCTGCAGCAGACACACATAAGGAGGAACTAATGTGCCCAGCACACATTGCACCCATGGAGGATATGCCACTGCATTGGCCTAACAAACTAGCCCTTGTATGACTGTCCATAGATAACCCATAGATGAGAGATGATCACTGTTGATTCTATTGATTACTGTAATTCAAGCCAAATCTTTTATTTTATTTTAGTTTTGAATAGAGTGGGATAAGATCAGAATCTCTGTTCAAGTATTAATAGTATTCGGGGCTCCATCTATTTTGATCTATGTCCCTTTTAGAAATGTACCCCCACTTTTTGTCTGGTGAATCTACTGGTACTGGGCTACCGACCGAGTGAGGGGAAGTCTTTCCAATGGAGTTCATGATAGTTGTAAAACCCAATGGGATTCTAAGTTCTAATCCTCTCTCAATATAGCCAGAATGAAAAATATATACACTTTAAACTCAAATTGGGGAACTGTTTCATGTAAGTGTTTGCGTGTGTGTAGTGTCTCCTGAGAACCCCTTGAGCGACCGATCTCAAGGTAAGTCTTAATGGTCTGGATAGATCGCAGTCAATACCGATAGCAATTCGTCGATAGACTTTTTCCAATCAATTGCTATTGATTTACCAAGGTAAGCCCACACCAGGACTACTGCTATCGGTCCCATTACCCCATCATTATGTAAAGCGATCTTTCAAAGGATGAATCTTCTAACTGCTGTTGCATGTCTTTAGGTACCTTCAGTGTCTTTACACCTACTTGATAACTAAAGTTTGGCATATATGTGCCACATCCCTATTCTACTGATACTTCAACTCTATATTTTCTTAAACTGGTGGTATTTTTAAGGCACAACATGAACCAACGATCTAAAATTTCACAATGTACACTCAGCGGCCACTTTATTAGGTACACCTTGCTAGTATCGGCTTGGACCCCTTTTGTCTTCAGAGCTGCCTTAAGTCTTCATGACATAGATTCAACAAGGTGTTGGAAA